ACGTAAGACGTTACGTAAGACGTAACGTAAGACGTAACGTAAGACGTAACGTAAGACTTAACGTAAGACGTAACGTAAGACGTAACGTAAGACGTACGTAGACGTTACGTAGAAATTTCTACGAACAAAATTTTTGCATTTAGAGTGTACATTATTTTCTGACTTATTGCCTGTGGTACGTAATATCATCAGCTGCACCAGATGTCAGATTCGGGATAGTAGTAAAACGTGCTGTTAGCTGACTGTTAGTTCCCAAAACTATGAAGTTTAGCTAACAAAACTATTGACTTAGCTAGCCCATGCAATAATGTTCGCTAAGCCGCTGCCAGGGAAATAATCGTTGCCATAGCTAATGTTTCGCTGCAACAACAAAATTATTTTTTTCCGTGTATTGAATCTAGTTTTGTCCCCTTTTAGCGAACCGCTTTTTGCTTTGTTATGGTTCCCCTGACCACTATGTTTTGCTAAGCTCTGCCACTCTGGGCAAGGCCTACGTATGGCATTGTAACCTACTTTAAAGCACACTAACTGAAAATTAAAGCTATATCATCTGCTCCCACGTTAGCGCAAGCTTAGGTTATTTTTCTATTTTGTTGCAAACTGGCTTCAGCCAGGGTTCGAGAGGGGAAGCCAATAGAGGGTAGGGGAGGAGGATTGCTCCATAATAAAAAGGGAAGTCTCGTTCTCCGAGAGATAAGTGTGATTTGACAAGCAGTTCGTGAGTGTTGAGAGAATCTTTTGGCGCCAATAGTAGTGAAAGTGACCGGATCGGATAGGAATTGTTTAGTGCTGTGCTTTTAAGTTTGCAGTATTAATATAAATTTATATTGTATATTGCAAGTGTTGTCTGGTCTACTGCACCATGCGGAAGTCAAGTAGTTCTAATCGTCGTAGTGGTGGAAATGGCCCTTCTCCTCATGCTGCCCAAGGTAGCTCTGGTTCTCATAATCAGATTTATGGGTTCTACGACGGTTCACATAATTTTTTTCACACAATGTCCTTTTGCCGAAAAACATTTGACATAACCCCTTTAACACAATTTTTAAAACATAAATACTGTTACACATAAGTTTACTTTTCACATATAGTACTGTTTTGCATACATTTCTTTTTACATTTTCCCCTGTGTGTGAACTCATTTATTCTGGCAGTCCCCATCGAATGTTTTGTGTCTTCGGCCCGCTCTTCTGCTTTGAAAAAGATCTCGAGTGGGCTTATACAATAGGCCTGGTGTCTGAATGTCGAACTTGGTATTGTGGCTTATGGGTCACACGTGGGCACGGAAACGCCTTGTGCAAATCCTGGCCAACTATTTTAAGTGGGTGAAATGAGTTACCGGGTGTAACTGTGAATGCGCAGCAGTGTTGCGGGTTTGACAACCCAATCCGCCCGTAAAGCACCATGGACCCTGCAGCTCTGGCAGGTATAATCCCTCAACAACTTCATTTTTCTTAAATCTAAATTAGGTGGTAGAAACGTATGCAAAACGACGCTTCAGACGAAACTGAAATTGTGTCAAAGTGCCGTCTAGACAAAACGGAAATTATGCGAGAAAAATTGTGTGAACTGGATTGTGTGAAATGGCATAAGGTAAAAAACCATTGTGTCAAAAAAATTATGTGAACCGTCGTGTTACCGATTTATGCTTTGTTGAGTGGTTGTCCGGGACCTACGAGGGCACCTTCACCGAAAACGACAAGCTCGAGTGGATAAGGGGCTATGATGGTGATGAAGAGCTCGATGAGTCGTACGTCATTGAGTGGCGTGTGCCACCCATGCCAGCGAAGGGTGATTGGACCGTCTACGACGGCAAGATTCACTTTGTTAGCGGTATGTTGTTCAATCCAACCATTTGGTACCTGTAAACAGCTAAATAAGAATCAAATGGGCCTTCTTTACCAGTGAAGAGCTTGTTCACTATTTTTATTTAGTCACTTCCACTGTCCTAATCTAAGCAATGTGTCATGTTTATTTCATTGTCTGTCATTTCTAATTACAGATGATCTTGCGTTCCTCAAGAATAGACGTGAGGAACTTGAAGAATGTCGCAATGCTGGCAATAAATCTCCACAAAATGTCAATGTATCTTCCCCCGGTAAGCAGTCTCCTCTCTCATATGATGTCTATTTTAGTTTTGGATGCCTGATTATTCATTTCGTTTCTTTGTAGATTGGAAGAATCTTGTTGACGATGCTGTGAAGAAGGCTCTGGCTGCCCATAGTACACCCAAGACATCGCGTTCAACCACCAGCCGCACACCATGTGAACCTGAGAAGGTATTTATTTTTGATTGTAGATGTCATATTATAAACTAAATGACTGTTTCATAATTATGTTAATTTTTTGATTCTTTATCGATTTTAGGTTGTTGTTGGGAAGTCTTTAGTGCTGACTAAAGTGACGCATACACTTGCAAGGAATGCCCCATCTCCCGGGCGTTTGAAAGGCTTACTCCTGAGACAAAGTTTCTCAAGACGTCGCCTAATTCGGTCCACATATGCTGGACAACAGAGGACCAGGAAAGTTGCTGACAAGTCAGTGACAATCCAGTGAAATACCAAAAAATGGCAGACAGTCACAGTAAGTAGTTTTGTATTCAATTTGAATTTATATTTTTGATTATTTTGTTCCTTTCTCCTCATTAAATTTTACTAATTGTTTTCCATTTCTTGAAGGTTTTGTACTTGAGCGATTCCCACACATATCGCAATCAAACTTCGGAGCAACTGTGAATTCGTTTCTTGGTGAAAGACCAAATCGCAAACGTGACATAGAGGTAAGTGTCTTCATCTCGTATGAATACTTGAATATATAATACAATATTTTTTGGTTCTTTTACAGTATGCTCAAGAAAGTGAGTCTGATGTCAGTGATGGAGAGGAACATTGAATGTTTTGAGTGAGGAAATGACCTTCTTACTATGACTTGATTTTTATTAAATTAACATGAAGTATTTAAATTTGTTCTATTCATTGTTCACAACCTGTCTCAAACATTACACAAGGGGACTTCGGCTACAAAACAAATCTTCCTGTCTTGTCTAATAACCTAATAGCTGTTGAGCTGCACAAATAGAGGCCCGCACAACACCACAAAATACCAAACTGACACTTCTCAAACAGTAAAACACACAGTCCACAATTTCAAAATGGCATGGTTTTCCTTAAACAAAACATTAAGATTTAAATTCAGTAGTTTGTTAAGGAAATATAACCTCATTTGGTTTTACTCACCGAAGTTTCAGCATACATTCGTTGTTTAGATTGGCTTAGCGAGTCCCATAATTGAGCGTCAGAAACCTTTTCTCCCCTCGAACTCTGTGACACAATGGCTGCATAACCAAGGAAACGTATTAAGTTGATTTAGAAATTAAAACACAACACATATGCTAGCCATGCAATTAAATAAACTGCAAGAAATAAGATCCTTAATCAGGTAAGGGACACGGTTTAGTTCCTGAGCATAAATAATTAAATTAAAAAAAATTTAAACAATGATTTGGATTGAAGATGGTATTTAATACCTTGGCGTTCAAGGTTCCAAAACGAATTGTAAAATAGTAAGTCAGCACCAACCTTTAGCCCATTTCGAACAACCATGTGTGAAAAGTCGATGTTCACGACAGGTAACAGACTCCGAAAGCTGCACGAAGAAGTTCTTGTCAGCATGAACACAAAAATCCGAGTGAATAAATATGCAAGTTAAGTTTTTAATTCTCAAATGTTATAAGAAATGTACGATCATTTCACAGAAAGCAGAGGTTAATAGGAGCCGAACAAAAGAGAAAAGTAAATAAACAAGATGGCGGTGGTGACGGCTCCAACACGAGCAGTTACAGGAAGGCTGAGCTCTACAGCTGTTGCTCCGTCTGCTAGAGCTAATTGTTTCTCTGTCAACTCAAATGTGTACCTAGTACACATTAAATAAAGTGTACATGGCATGTATGCTTTGAATAATGTGTACATGCGAATGTACACATTTATAAATGTGTACATAGGCATGTACACATTAAAAGATGTGTACATGTGCATGTACACATTAATAAATGTGTACATGGGCATGTACACATTTATAAATGTGTACATAGCCATGTACTGTACACATTAATTAAAGCATACATGCCATGTACACTTGCTTTAATGTGTATCATGTACACATTTGAATTGACAGAGTATACCTTGTGCCTTGTGCGTTGTGTAAGTTGAAAAGGTTTGCATCACTTGGTGACAACAGCATGTTTCATCTGAAGCGTTAAGTAATCTAATTGCATTCTTCGAATTCTTATCAGATGGAGACGACAAATTCCGAATACAAAATTATTACAATTTGTCACAGTACAAAAATATTTATTAACCAATGTTTATTTGCTTCCAGGCTCAATCAAAACAAACAGACCTAGTTTGTACAAGTAACAATACGCTGATTATGCAATGTTACTGGGTGGAATTTATAGAAGATGACGGAAATGTTACTGGTGCTTGTTTTTTTAAGTTACATTTTAACTAAAGAAAGGAAGACTGTATATACTATGGAGCATGACTAGAGGACAATAAAAATGCTTTCAAACAGAACTTATAAGTGTGTTATTGATGGAGGGAGCAGTACATTTTGTTATATTTTTATGTAAGTCTTTGAAGAGAGGTGCAAATAGGAGTTTGCAAAATTTTATTCCTGCAAAAGGCAGTCCTGTTAAACTACACACCATACTGTATCTAAGCTAGTCTTGTGCCTTCTTTTTAACCAAAGTAATTTTGACACTTAAAATTCAGTCTTCCCATAGAAAAAGATACATTGTTTTTGTTAGTAAAACTTCAAGAAACATTAGAATTTTACAACTAGAAGACTGCACTCAACTAATAGTGCAAACTGTCTACAACTGTCTAGGCTGCTGACATCCCAGCTGACAGGAAAGTGTCAGTAAAACTGGAAGAAAACTATAGTTGTCTCAAATAACTTGTAGTTTTACTGCAGTTTACACTACAGAAACAAATAAGTTAATTGTAGTTATGCTGAAGAATTTTGCATTTTAAATGAAGTCATGACTAGAATTTTCTTGAAGAAAGACTTGATATTTTCATATGTTAAACTCAAAATTGAAGTTCAATTAAAAGCAACACATCCGATGCAGTTAAAACTGTAAATCCTTCCACCCGGGTCAATTTTTCAGCCACGGAAACTTAAGTAAAAATTCACTCCGTCTCTCCCCATAGTCGAACAGCAGCTCCTGCCCGGGCTCGATGTCGCGCAGCGCCTCGAACACAATGATTGGCCCCGGCAGCGCTCGGGGGATGACGTTTGGAGTGGAGCGGCTGTGGTTAACAAGGCGCCCAAGGTCGCCAGTTTCAGCGGAAGCATCGATACTGCATACAGACAGAGTCGCCGTGATTTAGTCCGGTTGTAAATGCCTACAGAGCTGCGTAATGAAATGTCAGTTTCGAAGTGATGATTCAGAGCAGGTTGGTGAAATTACAAAAGGATTCATTAAGTTGTACAGCTCTGTAAACTCTGGTATAATAGAAAATCGAGAAGAATATTAATTAATATAAAGATAAATGGGATGACAATTTTTTTTGATTTTAGTCTAGCATATTTTTCTCATTCGTATCGACCTGAAAGGCCTTTGCCTTTAGCTAGTAAAGCTATTAAGAAGAAGAGCGGCCGAAAAATGAACACATGGCGAGCGACTCAACAGTTGTCGGAGTAGGGGGCAGTGCAGGTACATCGGGGAGACGCTGTTCTTATCCGACCATACATAGTTCGGAATGGAAATTTAAGAAATTTAATGGGTATTTGGCATGTGAAAGAAAAGTTTTAGTTACCCGATCAATGCGCCATCTGGTGGCAAAAAGTGGAAATGCGCTTGTCGTGAAATGTCAAAACAATTGTGAATTTTCAGCCCAAACATGAAATTTCTTTACAATTCTAAAAATTCAGTTGATTAAAGGTTTGAAATTTAAAAACATTTTTAACAGTGGACTTTGTAACTTTTTCAGTGGTCGAGCTTATCTTGTTCGCAGCACAGCTTTTACTATTTTGTGATTTCTATAAGGCATGGAACTAACGTTTCAGCAAACACTGTATTACCTACTACTTACAGGCAGCTTTTGAGAACTGTACGGCTAACTTTCTCTTCCGTTACAAGTCGACGCGCCCTAACGAAAGAGTCCGATCTGCTTTGCTGCTGAACTAAAAGAGTTCGATCTGCTTTGCAGCGAAACCAAAAGAGTCCGATCTGCTTTGCTGCCAAACCAAAAGAGTTCGATCTGCTTTTCGGCGATGGAACGTCAGGCATCTTTGGAGGGCTATAACTCCTCGGATATTTTGAATTTACGCAAAATAAAAAGACTTGCTTGTTACCCTGTCCTTTACGAATGTGTACACCCTAAAATAT